ATATACATATATATGTTACTAAAGATCCATTTTAAGGCAAATCCTCTTAGATTTCTTTAAAGACCTACTTCAGTACTTATTGAACTTAAGTACAGTTGACTTTACTAAAATACTTGTGTACAACTTTCTGGGAAAACATTCCTTGCACAAATATAGTTATATCAGTAATTAGGTCTTTATTTTATAAAAAGAAAACATTGACATCTATAATATAGTTGTATGAGAGAATACAATATTGCCTTATATTTAGGTTGAAGAGTTTAATGGAAAACTGAGAGTTTGGTTCTGGCAACATATACTTCTCCATTCTTGATAACCAACAAGGTCCCAAACCAGCTCTTATTGCAAAAGGCAACTTTGCATTGTGTGTTCTTGTTGTGTTTATTGAAGCAGGTCATATGATTGTTCTCTCCTTGTTAAAAGGATAATGTCAGGAGCCCAGAACTGTTACTTTTCTTCCATTTCTTTCTTCCATTTCTCACACTTTTCAGTTCTGGGAGTAAAACTCAGAGCTTAAACATGCTAGACAAGTACTCTACCACAGATCTACATCCCTAAACCTTTATTTTCTCTCTCTGTAGCCCAGGGTAGCCTCCAATTCATAATCCTCTTTCATCAGCCTCCCAAGTGATAGGATTACAGGCATGCACCATCATGCTCACTGTCTTTTTTTAAAAAAAAATTAAAATTTTTATTTATTATTTTTATTTTATGTATATGAGTGTTATGCCTGCATGTAGGTAAGTACACCCATGTCGTGCAATGCCTGTGGAGGACAGAAGAGGTTTTCAGAGCCCCTGGAACTGGAGTTACGGCAGTTGTTAGCTGCCATGTGGGTGCTGGGATTCGAACCCGGGTCTTCTGCAAGAACAGTGTTCTTAACCGCTGAGCCATCTCTCCAGCCCCTGGCCCTCTACTTTCTAACCAAACACGTCTGTTTAGCTTCTATCTGAACTGTTTTAAATGCAATTATCTTATTCCTTTCAATAATACATTTTCATTCCTCTAGAATTTATGGATGTTCAAATAACTTCATGACCAAGTCTTGATCCACATAACAGAACAGGACTGGTCCAATACCGTTTAGACTCTATGAAAATCTCTATAAGGAAGCCACATTAAAATGGGTTTTACTAAGACAGCAAGGAAAAAGTGATACAATCAATACATCTCCTACATTCTGTTTTCTTCCTGTCACACTGTCCCCCACCTCAAATCCTCTTTCCTGTCTATGGACAAACCTGTTCCCCCTACCCCCATATCACTAGGAAATTGTCAGTGTAGCAACAGGTAAGAACACAGGTTCTGGAGTTCAAAACTTAGGGCTTCTACCTTTCTGTTCAGGTTCTGGTATGAACTTGAGTGAATCTGTAAACCCCTTACACCTGGGCTGCCTCATTAGTTAAAACAGGAATATTATCATCTCTTCCCAATGATACATGAATAAGAAGACAAAGCTTTCACATGACTCAGCTTAAAGAAGTAACAAATAAATGTTTGTATCATCATTACTTCTATGACTACTATTTGACTAGTTTGTAGGCTATTTTGCATTTAGCTTAGATTATCAATCTTGTCTTCATAGCAATGGTGCAGCAAAGTAAGATCAATACAATTTGTATATCAAAGATATGGCTTATGAATTTAAAAAATGTCAAATGTCTTGTATGTGCTAGGCACTGCAACAGAATACTGAAACAAATCACATATGCCTGTCTTCCAGTGTTGTAGAGGAGAAAGACAAATACAGTTATGTAAATTTCCAGGAGTGTGGAAGTGCTACAGAGGACACTTGCTTGGCTTTTTAGAGCTCACAAGAGAGGGCTGAGGATTTGCCTCAGTGGTAGAGCTCTTGCCTGGGATATAGGAGGCCCTACATTTGATCTCTAGGACTGACAAAGACTGAGAGAGAGTAGAGCAGATATTTGAAGTGGCAACAGAAGTCAGGGGCGGCTGGGTTACAAGGTCCATGTTTAAGGATGGTACCAGTAGGAGTTACTAAGCCAAAGGAAGGCAAGAATGCATGAGGCAGAGGTATCTGCTCATTGCATCAAACTCCATTTGGGCGAGAAAGTGGTAGAGAAAAGCAAGTGTACTGAGGTCAGTTTGACTTCAGCCCACAGTTGAATGGAAAACGGGGAAGAAAGCAAGACAGAGGTTGCATAGAACAGAAGGATTTGAGATCATGTCCTATGAATCCACAGACAGGAGTCTTTATCCTAAAGATGATTATACTACTAATCCTTCAGGAACTTCAGATTAAATACATCAGTGGGATAAAGGGCTTTAGAATATCTTCTTGAACAGAGATTATTGTCTTGCATATTAAATCATCTTCGTGGAGTCAGATCATACTCTTCTGGCACTGACCGTCTGCCTAAGCTAGACCCTGTCTAGGTCTTTCCTTTCTGAGCCAACTGTAGCAGAAGCTCCTGCTGGAAGGCCAGGTTCTACTGCTCTACTGGCATTATCAACATCAAACAAAATTAGCAAGTATCTACTGTGTGCAAGGGTTAAAATACATTCTGGTCCTGCCTGTCTTTTTCTGTCCTTCCCCAACAATGTAATTCATGGAGCATTCCAGGCCACTCTTGCCACATGCACATCTCTCATAATTCCATCTCTGATTTGCTCAAAAGTCAATAACGGCAAGTGTGGGGTGAGGGAAGACACTGAAGGCTTTGCAAACATGCGAACACATTGGGCAACAGTCACATTTTTCTGCATTTTATTGTCAGTTCTTTGGGGGGGGGAAATTACAGGCTTTCCTCAATAACAGTTTTTCAACTGAGTATTCTGCCCTTTTCCCTCTATCAGTAAACTATAAATATGAAACAGTGCTTTACAGACATTTCCATAGGTGCTTAACGTTAGAAAATTAATTATCTGTAAATCTCTCTGATGTAATTTACTCTCTGCCAAAATATCTAATCACTTTGATTTTGTTTTCTTTTTTCTAATTTGGGAATTAGATTTAGAATCAAAGAATTTAAAAAATATTGTGTCTATTATTTTTATTTTATGCATATGAGTGTTTTGCCTACATGTGTGTAAGTCCGCCTGTGTTGTGCAATGCCCTCAAAGGTCAGAAGAGGGTGTCAGATTCCCCGGAATCTGTAATGACAGTTGTTAACTACCATTTGGGTTCTGGGAATTGAACCCGGATCCCCTGCAAGAGCAGTTAGTGTTCTCAACTGCTGAGCCATCTCTCCAGTTCCAGAATATTTTTTATAAACATGACTTTTTGATAAATTATTTTTCCCAATGCCAAAATTATATTTGCAAGTACATCTTTTGAATAAGCTAACAGAGAAGATAATATAGTTATTATGTAATTTATCACATCCCCTATAAATTAAAATGGTATTTGAAAATATAAAACTCATTAAGAATTGAGTCTCCTTTGAGCAAGGTGGAAATCTGTCTCCATTCAGTCTCAGATGTTAAAAGTTATACATAATGTTGACATTTATCTCCCAAAGAAAGAGGCATCATATACTCTACCTGACTGCTGTGGGGTGTAAACAGGCTTGTCTGTATGGATGAAGAGCGATCCATTGTCATAGGTTATTGGTGTTTTTTCTGATATTGAGAAATGCTTTGATACAACTTCCACATATACATATGAAACTGAGCTTTGTCCTTCGGACAATTGTTTGAGTTGTACCTGTTTTTTTAAAAAAAATAAAAAAGTCATTGAATGAAAAAGTATAATTCTAAGATTATAAAGAATGCTGACTTTCATTAGGACTGAAAACGATATTGTATATTATATCATTTTAAAGGTGGTACAGGCCAGCACTTGAGAGGTTGAGGCAAGTGGATTACCAGTTCGAGCCAGCCTGGGCTACATGGCAAGAATCTGTCTCAAGAACAATCAAGCAAACAAACAAAAAAGTGATACAGTAGCCAGGAGAATGAATTAGTTTTCCCAAAGACCCCAAAATTTGGCTTTAAGCAATTGAAAATCTCTTTGATTTCATGTTTCCTAAATTTACCCATATTTCACAGAACTACTGCTAGAGAAACATAGGAAACCTTCAATTCCCCAGTTTTTGGATGAGTCTGTGTTCCCATTCTCTCTGTACTGATGGTCTGGACACTTGCATCGCATCACACACTTCTGCTCCCACAGTGTAGATGCATGCATTCTAGCTCTGATAATTCATTAAAATGATCTCCTTTACATCCAGTGATGTGGGAATTTACTACATCAACATAGATAATTAAAGGAAAAGATGTTTCTATGAAAATGTAGGTTTTGGAACCATAGGATAAAAGGTAACCTCTGAACCTGTGGAACTAGGTACATGAGATTATTGTAGAAATTCAGAAAACACTAAAAATCTGTAGATTTTCTGCTCTGAGATGCCTTGCAAGTGTCTTTAAGTCCTTTTCTGCTTTTAAGAAACAAGCTACAGACCAAAGATTATTAATTAAAGACATAAAGCTAATAAATAAGATTTGACAGTGGATTCAAAGACAAGACTGCACCACAACATCAAATAATTGGCAAAGCAGACATTTTATAGGGTTAAGAGAAAATGAGATACGTATGTATCAATGTTGGTGATTTCTCCACCTTCATTGACTCCCTCAGTTGACTGTCTAAGTGCTGTTCAATAGAATTTCCTGTGGTGATGACCGGCCCTGTAGCTACACTGTCTAACATGGTACCAGTAGTCACCAGCACTTGCCATGTACCAGTTAGTGTTACTGAAGCACTCAAGCATTATGTCAGCTACATTAAACTGATTGAAATCTAAAATGAAATGTGACTAGTGGCTTCCTTGCATCAGAGGAGAGTGTCTACAGAAAATAGCATGTTGAGAAATGAATTTTAATTTTCTACAAGCCTAATAATTGGTAGTATTTTCAAAAAGCATTTACTCTCAAAAGCATTAATGAAATAATTCTCATGTTTCGTTAGAATTTATTTAGATCAATGTTTTTCAAACATTATATATACACACACATATGTATGAATGTATATTTCCCAAAAGACATGGGGGATTCACAGCATTGACATTTTGTCATTTAAAATGTAATAAAAATAATTTACAATATGAATTAAATATATGTACACTTAAACATAATCTTATGCCTATGCCTCTTCTAACTCTGATAGTCTCTAATTTATTATCATTATAATTTTTAATAAGATGAGTTTCAGGCACATTTCTAAAAAATCTATACCAAAATAACATTTTGGTGGTATTGGAGATCGAACCCAGGGCCTCACACACACTATGCAAGTGCTCTACCATTGAACTATACATCCTCTATCCCAAAATGTCTTAATAAAAAGAAAAGTCATTGGCTTAAGCTTGTTATTTCTACTATGGATTTTCAATGAGAACTGTTTACTGTAGAAATCAATAGTATCCTTAGGGACTAGAGTGGTAACTCAGTGGCAGAGTGCTGGCCAACATGAGGCCCTGGTTCCATCCCCAGCAGATCATGAGCACTGGAGGTAGGGGAAAGTCTTGTGTTGAAAGAAATAAAGAAAATAAAACAATAATTTCATTATTTTGGGAGGCTATCAATCTGACTGTAGAATACTGAAGTTTAAACAAATGTTTAAAAGCATACATATTCATATTTCTTTACCTTGTAATGATAATTTTCATAGACAAAATTATTTATAATTCATCTCCAAATGCTTTCATATTGATACAATTTTATTTTCCAATAATAATGTCACTGTTTACATGCACTGCTCCAAAAGCAAACACAATTCTTCCATTTAAAATTGTGCTTCACTCCGATTGTTCGTCACTGATAATCATTTAATCATTACACTATGGCAGTGACACAAATGATGAAATCTGTACATCATCAGTAATCAAATTTGCACATATTTTATCAAAAATCTCTGTGTACATAAAGAAAATGGAAGACAAATACATACGGTTAAGACTGTAGAGTTTTGGAATTGATTTTCTGGGGATAAATTAACAGAGTCTGAAGAGTAAGTAAATCTTTGATCAGGATAGCTTTTTACAGAAACTGTTGCATCAAATGCTTCAGTGTGTCCATAAGCTTGAACTGCAATAATGTCAGACACTCCCACTTGGAAGACTTTTGGTACCGAAATGACATACCTGTTGAAACAGAAAGGTTTGGAACCTTATAAGGCACATATTCTTATACTTCTGATGCATTTTAATCTCACTTGAGATCTAGTTCCAAAGAGACAAGTTTAAAAATATTTTAAAATTTATGTTATGATTTATGACAGATTCAGCATAGTTTCCAAGAAGAAATAGCACATGATTAAATCCTGAGAAACAGCTGGGAGTTTATTTACATTCAGAAAGGTAATAATAACACCTTCCCTGACCTACTACACCTAAGAAGAACTTAACAAAGTCATAGTGGTATTTAACATAATACATGCTTATTTTAAAAATAAAAACATAGGACTGGAGAGATGGCTCAGCACATGATTAAATCCTCAGAAACAGCTGGGAGTTTATTTACATTCAGAAAGGTAATAATAACACCTTCCCTGACCTACTACACCTAAGAAGAACTTAACAAAGTCATAGTGGCATTTAACATAATACATGCTTATTTTAAAAATAAAAACATAGGACTGGAGAGATGGCTCAGCAGTTAAGAGCACTGACAGCTCTTGCAGAGGGCAGGGTTTGATTCCTAGCACCCACAGATGGCTAACAACCATCTGTAACTCCAGTTCCAAGGGATCCAAAGCCCTCTTCTGATCTCCATAGGCATTGCACGACACAAATGCACTTATACACGTGCTGACAATACACTCATACACATAAAATAGAAATAATAAATAAAAAAATAAAAATAAAGCTGGGCGTGGTGGCGCACGCCTTTAGTCCCAGCCCTCGAGAGGCAGGTGGGTCTCTGGTTTCATAGTGAGTTCCAGGACAGCTGGGGCTACAGGGAGACCCTGTCTCAAAAACACACACACAAAATAAATAAATAAATAAATAAATAATAAAAATAAAATAAAAACAAAAGATGAGGTTGACTAGAACATGTAGGTAAGGTCAATTCCCACCCCCCCCAAAGTGGGAAAAAAATAAAATAAAATAGGCAGCAGTCAGTGAAAGCTCTGCCTCCTGCTGACTCAGTCAGATAAAGTCCTTAACCTTTTCTGAGACCCCCCCCCACCAAAAAAAATGTCTCTGTGATGTCACTTTATTTTCCAGGCTGTGGTGGGGTTAAATAAGAACGTGTCTATAAAAGCACCCAGCATGCTATTCCTCAACACATGACGGCGTTCACCAAAGTAGTTGAAAGAAAGTGATCTTAGAAATATGTTATACTAGTGGGTGCAGGCAAGCTGGAGTAACACCTCTAGAAATAAAGGTAGTGATAGAGGAACTTGAGCTGATCAGCAGTAGCACAGGACCTAGGCACATAACGGTGACCGAGCAGTTATAGATCAGGGGCTATGACAGGACTGAGAGGAACTTTCACTCCTCGCCAAACTCAATGATGCCCTGGATGTTATTACTATTCCTGTTTTACATGTGATTGAAAGTGATTTGACCAGGTTAAACGGCTTCTGAGTGAACGAGGCAGGATTTTATGTCCGGGGCTCTCCGCTTCTATGTTTATAATTGAGGGCTAAAGTATACAATCTGGGGAAGGCTAGGAAGAGAAGGCATGACCCATGCTGGGTAAAGGCTTTCCAGTGTGCGTACCCTCAGGTCATACATTCACCTCAGCAACCCCTCAGTTATCTCAGTAAGCCACCTCAGTAAATTCATTGGTTCCTCAGTAAAACTTTAATCAAACATTGGCTTGACACTAGAACCTTAAAAGGGAATAAGCATGGCTTAGTATCCCCAGGAAAAGAATTCTTACAACAGATGGAAAATTTTTTGTTAATGCTATTATGTATCATAATTATTTTAAAAAAATGAGGGAAAATGAGAATGTAAACGATGTTAAAAGGATATGGGAATGGCGATATTTTCCAAAATAGAAAAAAATTAGAAAGCCTAAGCAATTGATGAAGGTCTGTGTAGGTTTGTTATTATATATAAATGGTGAGACAAAAGTAATATACATATAATCTTAAATATTTCTAAGGTCATAGTTTAGTCAACTAGTTTAAGGAACAAAATATATTTCTAGTCAAGGTTTATCTGAGAGTATTTGGTTTTTTACCCAAGCTTTATCTACATAGCATATGGTAATTAAAAGTACTGGACTGGTGGAACTAACCTTATTGGATGCGTAACAGCCATACTTTGAGGCCTATATTAATCTAGTCAGAGGGACCTAAAGGACAGTTTTTGCCCCTGCCCTCCAAGGTCGACCAAGTTCCAGGGGACTATGGAACATCTCTCAAAATGTTCTGTAACTGTGGTGAGTCACCTGTTCTCCTGTTCAGGGAGGCCATGGAGACCCCACAAGACAGACTTGAAACAGTGTCCAGTCTATAAAGAAGAGGGTCAATTCAGAGGAAACATCTCATCCATGCTTCCAAGTGAAGCCAAATATGGTCGAGCAGGGCCTTTGACTTATCTTCACATAGATAGAACTGGTAAAAGAAAGGAGCCAGAGGCTCCTCCAAAGCTCATGTGACCCCTGAGGAACAGAGCCTCAAATGACTTTAAGTGTAAAAATAAGTTGATTTATTTGGGCCAACTGTATTGTCTTAAACACCCAAAAGAAAAGTATAACCAAAGAGTAAAGTCATCAGTATACTT